GACGGCAGCAACCGCAAGGTAGACGGGTAAACAGACGGCGGCGAAATGAATTTTGGTGAATTGGTAGAGTTCAATTTTCTCCCTTCGGCTTTTAGGGCATACTCAAGCCGAAATAAAGGTTTCTTGGTATTTACCAAGAGAGGAATAAAAAGCTTGAAAATAAAATGATGACGTTAACGAAGAACGTTTATAGCTCGTTGGCCGCAAATAATCATCTTTGCATCAACCCACTCTGAGAGTGAATCGTGTAAAAATGATAAGATTGAAGCAGTTGTAGCGGTAAACACAGAAGCCAGGCAATTTAAACAACTTAAATTGAAGTTGAAAGGTACTTAAGTTGGAAATTAAAGGAGGAAGTATTATCTACGAGCAGAATCAAAATTTGAGAACGAGTTCCGTAAATAACGATATTGTACCCACTAAACATTTCTAAAGTTAAAACTCTCGTTTCTGCAAAGAGATCGTAACACAATATCGAATGATACGAATATATAAAAGGAAACATGTCGTGTACGCGTGATATCTTAACTAGAGTAAATAGTTTGATAGAAACAGATAGTTTTGTTTGCCATCTGTGTAAATAACAATAATAATATACATACAGGATAAATAAGAGCTGGTCGTTGTTTACGGCGCGAAAATTTATAACATAATGGACATTTTGATATGTTTATATAATTCCACTGTTTTATTAACGTGAAAATTTTTCCATTTAAGCTTTATTTTATTTCATACGTTTCGGTTCCATTTCGGATTCTTTTTATAGCAATCAGCTTTTATTATCCCTATATTTAGATATTATTGTAAATAACAATAATAAGGTAATTAAATTAATGAGATAATTAGGTAATTAGGTAAGATTCTCAATACGTAAGGTCTCAATAGATAATATGTAAAATGAGATATTAATTATTGTCATATTGGATATCTCCGTGATTTCGAATGATACAGGAAAATAAGTTTTATAACTTCTGAAGAGACGGAATATAATGACAATGATTCATTTGTGAATGGAGATGTATAGGAAATTTCAAGGTCACCTTAAATTTCTGAAATGTAATCATATAGTTTTCCTAAAACAAATCAATTCCCCTGATCATTCTACGTACAAATACTGAAGAGAATCAGAATAAAATATAAAATATCTTGTATTCATTTTCCGATAATTTTACCTCAGTAATTTTCCATTACAAGAGAATCATTGTCACTGCGTTATATCTTCTTCGAAACCATAAAACTTTTGTAGGCACTTTCTTGAAATAGCGAAGTTATTCACCTACCAAGTTAGTAGGTATTGCCTCATCCTGTACATAAAATCATAAAAATTTGAAAATACCGATAAATAGCCCAGAAAACAACAAAAAAGATATTAATTTATTGTTTCACAAAATATATATCAATGATGTCTTAACACTTAGTAGACTAAAATAACCTAATGATTTCTAATCATGTGTAAATACGCTATTATGGCTATTGATTGTTCGGCAGATCTGTCCTTTGAACAATTTGACCCACAGGATATCACACATATCATATTATATTACATTACATCTTCGAAAACGATGTGCGAAGAACTAGAAATCATTGGTCCTAATAAATGTTGGGCTTTTACTGAAGCTTGATGAGAAACGGTGCATCAGCACCTTTGTGCTTTGTTTTAAGTACTTATTTGCCCACGACTCAGGCTTTTATTAGTCTTACATAATGTGTGCATAAACATTCGGTTACATCACCGTTTACCTTATAACATCCAAGTTGCTACGACGTTAATTAAAAGTAGCGAAGTAAATATACTAGGATACAAAGGACGCATAGAAAAGCCGATAGCACGTTACGGGTACGGACACACGGGTCGTTTGTATTTTAAAAGTTCTGTGGAAACCCTTACCTTTGAGCGAAAATACCACCTCGATAGAACCCGCGTGGCTCAACGAGGTTTAAAAAATCGGTTTTACAATACTTTCAAGGAGAAGAAAGAGTCGACATGAATGGAGAAACTCTTTCAGCTACTCAGGTCAGTGAGAAGATCGCATTATGTCTGGCTCCATAATAGAGGAAAAGGAACGGCTGAGTAATAATCCCAACGAATATATTCTCTCTCTCTTTCTTCTCCTTTATTTTTAGGTTTTTTTAACATGATCCCGAGACTAATTAGTCGGGGTAGCACGGGTTGCAGGTATAATGAGCGACGTTCGACTATGCCTCCGGCTGCCGCAACTTGCCGCGATATCGGCTTCTTCTTGTTTGCCCTCGACATCGACCGGCCATGAGCGGACAATTATCGACGGCGTTATACGCTGTTCTAGAAGCGAGCCGTCGTGTCAAGCCGGCGATTTGGAGAAAGTTCGGTGCGTGTGTCGTTAACTCCCGATAACGGAACGTTAACGGGACACTTTGACCAATCTCGGACAGCACTCAGACAGCACCTCACTAACCGTACGAGCCGAAGTGGGTCGTAACCCCTGGGACCTGAACGCTCCGGGGCATGCGAATACGGCTCCACCCCCGCAACGCATGGCCCGCTAATGAAGATTTACAGTCTGGAGTAAATTAAACGCGCCGAAATCGCAAGAATTTAACGATACACGACACAGGGATGCGATGATCAGGGAAAGCGTTTCTCCGACAAGTAATCCTGATGTAAACACAGAAAAATATCATTGCACTGCTAAAAAAAATCATTACTTCCCTTCCTTTAAGAGAATATTAAAGTCGACAATCAGTGATGTGACTTTTCCCATTCTTCAGTCCAGAAGTGGATAGGCGATGGATCTGGGATGCGCTTATCTATTGTGTGACGTGAAATGCCGGTAGAAAACAATTAGGCTACCAAAACACTGACGCGAGATTCGATGGATGAACTCAGAGACTTTGGCAGACGAGAAGTAAGTAACGAGGTAAATGTACGGTTTTCTTCGCACGCTCAAAGAAATTATTCGATAAGAAATTAACAAACAAATATTTCCGATCAAAATATCTTACTGACAATCTATTCCTGGACTACTAAAAATATAATAAAAAGAACTTGTATGAAAAAGAACACTATAATATTCTCTCCGTGTAACATTTACTCGAATTTCCAGTATATATTTTTCTGTGTGTAAAGAGCTTGTAATTGCCTGAACGAGGAGAATATTTAATCGGAAATGCAAAGAGAGAAAAACAGGAGAGAAGACAGGAAAGAGGGAAACGAGTAATGCACCTTCGGTGCATGGCTTACAGAGACGGCAAACAATCGCATGTGCAAAAAGCGTCGTCGGTCTGTACAATTATTCCGCCGGCGTGTTATTTACGATTTCCACGTATGGTTCGTTCGAAGGGAAATTGGGGACGACGCGAAGGAAAGAAGAAGAGGAGGAGAAAGAGAAGGATAAGAGGAGAGAATACGCGAGTGCTTGCTTATGCGCTATGTAGGGTTAAATCCGGGTTTGGGGCACAATTACAGATCTACTTTAGTTTGCGTGAAATTTCGCTCACCGAGAGGACAGGAAGTGAGAACGAGAGATGGGAGAGGAGGAGAGAGCAGAGAGAGACAAGGCAGAAGATAGTCCGCGCTCACTTTATTATACGTAACTCCGCATATCGCGGAGTTTATGGGAATTGTGCAGCAGGACTCCTCGGACGCGGAATTTCAGTCAAAACGCATGTTAGAATTTAATTATACAAACTGCGTGAAGTACGCTGAATTATACGTCGATGTGCAATCCCTGTGGTTGTGAGTGTGGTGCTTTTCATCCGAATTAACGTTCAATTAATAAGTACTGCGAGTTCGGGTTTATCACGCTGCGTTGTTTGTTCTCGCTCTGTATGAAAGAGAACGAGAAAAAAAGAGGGAGAGAGAGAAAGAGAGAAAGAGGGCAGGAGGAAGAGGATGAAAGAGAATCGTACGTTTCATAAATTATGATGAAACAAGGACGATGCATCTCATGTTGAGGATTATTAAATGACGTAATAATACTTGTATTTTGCATTAGCGTGGCCGCCCGCGATGGATTTTGCATTGTTTTCATGATACTGCTAGATTACCTCTGAGCCGCGGAGATAAACCGCGGACGAACCTCGGCATAACGGACGAGATATTAGCGGGAATTAACGGGTGTTACTCTAATAGACTTAGTAAATGCATTCGGTTAATGTAGCAGCCTCTATTTGACCACTAACTTTCCGGTCAACGATTTATTCGTAAAATTTATCTGCCAGATCTTGTGAATGTGCGAGGAGGTTCCTCGCGTCAATCTAATTAAAAGAGCGACGAGATTATGTCGTCAAAATATTCGCTGAACATTTCTTAGCGGATCCATATGTGTCGAGACATGAGTGCAAAAAATGTATTGATGTTTTTGCGATTCAATGAAATAAAAAAAGTTATAGTGAAAAAAACGCGTTTTTAAGAACGGTAACGTCCGAGAAGTTGATCCGGGTGAAAATTTTACCTATGTTTGGGGTTTTAAGATGAATATTGCACGTGAAAATTATCTAATTTGTTAAAATACACACTTATATATTCATTATTAAAAATTAAATAAATTGGCTCTAAAATTTAACAATCAAATAGAAATAAAACAAGGAAGGGTGTTTAAGAGAAGCACAGATTAAATAGTGCAATCAAAAATGTTACAAACAAATATATTTGTTAACAAATATATAACAAATATATTACACAAATATATTTATACGCTTCGACGCTTTTTGAGTTTTCTTTTTAGAAGACCTCTTTTTAGAAAACCTCTTCCTTCTGAAGAGGACCCAAAAAGAGTCGAAACATATAAATATATTTGTATCTATGTAAAGTTTTTAATTGCACTATTTAGGCTGTGCTTAGGCTCTTAAACGCTCTTCCTTGTTTTATATTTATATATTCATGATTATAAAGCTTCAGCTGCCGCATATAGTTTGCGAAAGAGCAATGTCCAGTCTCTTTCTCTCTCTCTCTGTCTCTCTCTCCTAACTTTCGATTCATTGTGCGGCGTTACTACGCTGATTGAACAGTATACACTTACTACAAAATTGCGGACGTGTCCCATCGGGCAGTTTTCGCTGCACATGCTACGGGGAATGTGAAACTCGCCGATGCCGGTCGCCCATCGTGTCATGTTAATGTCCAGACTGAGCCTGAGGAAGTAAATTAATCCCTAATTAATACACTGGACGTGTCGCAGGATTTACCTGCTGTACACATTGAAGCCATTGTCGACGGGCTGCATTATGCAAACTAAATAAATTTCTCCAGCTTCCCGCTCTCTGCTGCAACGATATTAGAGAAGTTAATCAATCATGAGCGCTTTACTTTGAAAATCTTCCAACTCGTTGAAACTCGGAATTATGAATAAGGATTATGAATTGTGTTATATTTCAAAATTATAATTATAAGTTTAGAAATTAATTTATATATTTGCTCGCACATATGCATACGTAACAAATATATAATAAAACAATAAATGCAGATATATATTTGCGATTACTATAAATAATATATGTGTGTGTGTGTGTGTATAATTTTCCTTTTTTTAACTATGATGAATAGATTTTGAACACATTTAGGCAAATTATTATGCGTCATATTATAGCAAAGAATATGAAAAAAGAGTACTTCACGATACAAATAGAAAAGAACATATACTTCTGACAGAGGTAGAATGCGAGATGCAAAACATTTCAAAGCAATTCGAAGTACCTCAATTTGCTTTACAATTCTACAGACGCTCGTATCGTAAGAAAAAGAAAAAAAGGAAAAACCTGGTAACCGACGGCAGTCGCGTCGATTTTGAGAATAGATTAAACTAGTAACGTTATGCGTTACAGAGGGGTTACTGGAGAGAGAGAGAGAAAGAGAGAAAAAGAGAAGGAGCTGAAGATTAATGCTATCGTTTGTGCAACCCGTACGACAAATGGCAAAGTCTGCCGATCCCATCTGAATCGAAGGCCGCTACTCACTCTTCCTTCCACGTGCCGATGAGGGTATAATCGAAGCGACCCTCCTCTTTTCTCTGATATTGATAGATGTTGTAAAATCCATAAGCGTCTCCATCGGAATTGAACTTAATCTCCGTGTTTTGGCGACCTGAAAGAAAACAGATCGGTGCCGTTTCGAAAATCTGAATACAATTGAGAGAGATTGATAACATGAAAGTGTATACAGGGTGTCTGACACGAGATTGTCAAAAGTATGTTTAGATTAACTAAAATATCTTTTTACCATTTCTCAAACAATCACGCAAAATTTCGGGTTGCTGATTAAAAAAATTGGCAAACGATTGAGCGTAATTATTCGCTAATCTTCTTTAATTAATAATTTAAAATTTTATGTGATTGTTTGAAAAATGGAGGAACTTTTTATTCAGTTTAACTTAATGTACAAGCACATAATGGAAATCGCAATTATCGTTACATCTGCGCAGCGCGCGATTATCCGCTAATCTTCTTTAATCAGTAACTCAAAATTTTACGTAGTTGTTTGCAAAATGGCAGTAAAATATTGTATCTAATTGGACCTAATATATACGAGAATTTTCCCATGTCGTCGGACATCCTGGATAATTTAATTTCCTAGGTAATTATTATTGTCTTTCCATTATTCATTGATATTACTGATTTCGATTTCATAACCTTGAATATGTCGTTATCCGACATATTATAAAAAGAAATCACTATAAAAATAAATTCTTTTAACGATGATCACAAGCCAACAATGCAAAATAGAATCGATATCGGAAAAGTACCAATGTCGAAGTGGGATCGTTTCCAAAGTTACACGTAAAGTTGTGAAGAGATAAGTTATGTTAAACTTGAAGACTGTTAAAAATACATTTCAAGAATATTTCGCGAATTGCAGAGGCTGAGAAATAAAAAGTAGAAACTCGGGAGAATAATACGATCCGAAAGAGGCTGGGAATAAGCGGACGCTTTCCACCGTGAGCTATCGAAGTGAATTTGGATGTGTGGTCTGCGGAATTTATGCCAGCTATTTCACGCGTGAGTTACATACAAACATATACATGGATACACACACACACATATGTACATACGTTTTATTTATAGAATACCACATATGAGAAGAAGAAGCCATGCACGGCATCTTTCCTCCCTTGTTACGGCTCATCCCCTTTCCCCGGCTTTTCCCGAACTTTCACCGTAATAATTCGAGGCAGGCACAGACTGGCGAAGCACAGGCGGGTGTAGGAATACATACAAAGTGTTATTTCTAAGAACGGCCTCGGTGTAAACAGGTGGAATAAAGAAAACTCGGGGAGGGGAGAAGAAAGTTGCCTTCTGTAGCTCGGGGCTCGGTATCAAAGGGAAAAGAAGGGAGATCTCGTGCACAAGGGCGAGGAAAATTATGGTTGAGTATGAGAGTAAAAAATCGCGAAGGAAGAGCGGCGGGTCCTCGAAAGATTACGTAAGCTACGGCAATAATGTAGCGATATTTTCTCACCTTTATCCTCGACACTCGGCAAAATTCTCGTATTTTGTCGACCTCTAAATCTTTTATTAAGGCTTTACTTTCGGCTCTTAACTTCGACAAAACAGAGAAAGAGAGAGATACGGAGAAGGAGAGCGTGCTTCAGAGATCGAGTTGTAAAGAAAAATACAGAGGGAACAGGACGCAGCGATAAAAAGAAGAGATTTACTTTCCTTATATGTACCTTCCTCTCTCGTATAGTTCTTTCTTTTTTGGTTTCGCGGTGGACATGAAAATACGCTCGTGATCATTAACGAAGTTACATTTATATACGTGCGATTTCCAAGAGAATTTATGCCCTAACCGAGAAATCTACAGGCACACGAGTGAGGAAAATATAGTTTTTAACTCTTCGCGTACACAATGAACATAAAAGCTCTAACCTTGTGCTTTAAGGGGATGCTCGATGACGAACAATGTCGATAACGCATAAACGATCATTAATTCAATCACGCTATCCCTTTCGTATTTCTTGTACAGAACTTTTACCATATCTAGCAGAAAACCTAATCACACATGTGTAGAAATCTTTCTGCAAACTTTTCCGATATTCTTAAGCTTCTGAATTTAAATGCAAAGTTACAGTAATGTTCTTGAAAATTTTTTCTATTTGGAACATCTCTCGGTACGTAAACGGAGAGAATATTGTAGTAAAAATTACAATATAAAAATTATTAATAATTATTAATTATTAAATTACGAAATTTTAGTAGTTCGGGAGTAGACTGACACTATTACAAAAATTATAATACATAATACAGAGGTCGAAAACATAGTAAAAATGACTATAAACATGATAATTTTTACTACATTTATAGTAATTTTTACTATGTTCATTTTTACTGTGTTTTATTATTTTCATCATAGTGCCAGTTTATTTTTGAAGTATTAAAAGTGTATTATAATTTTTTACTACAATATTCTCTTCGTGTACAAGCTGTAGAACTTTCGGAGTAGGCAAGTATTACGCTAATTGACAGTTTGAAATTACATTAACATTTTTTTTCGCTTTTCACATATGAAGCAATCACATATTGAGCAATGCTCCTATTTATTTTCATTACGTAAAAGCATTGGTAATTCAATATGACGGAAACATTCCATAAAAACGTCAGTATATTGTTGGTAAAGTTTTCAGCATCCTTTCAAGGGGAATTGAGAAAATAATATTTGTTTACTCTTTTCGCAAAACTTTATACAATTTCGAGCGTCAACGATTCGGCTTTGCACATGGTCGCTATATTGGGTTTTTCAACGAGACTTTTTTCACAGGATCAAGATGAAAAATATATAGCACTCTATTATCCAAGATAGATCAATAATATTATATCGACGAAAAATCATTATTGTTAATATAAAAAATTCGGTGAAGACTCAAAATGAATGTAATTATGCGTACTGTGGACCCTGAAGGGTTGAAGACATCGGATTCGAACATGTTCGCGAGGAGCACGAGGTTAGGCCGGTTCTACATTAGTTGCAAGTCTCAAAGTCGCAAGAAAATTGACCAATCACAGTCAATTCTTCTTTGGTCGTAAGAACAACGATCGACTGTAATTGGTAAATTTTCTTACGATCTTGCGATTTGCAACTAATGTAGAAACCGGCCTTACGCGATCACCTTTGTTGGAATCCATTAGATCTCATCTCATC